CTCTGATTACTACTGCACTTACTACATGTTCTAAAACTACCAAGTATAAGAACAACTCCTCTCTTGGTACTGGATTTGAGAGAACTGGAGCTATGGTCAAATACTTCTTCAAGTCATCCAAGGCGAATTCGCACTCTTCTGTTCATAAGAAGTCTATGGCTTTCTTCACTAGGCTGAAGAAAGGTTTACATTTGTCAGAGCTTCTACTTACATTTGTCAGAGCTTCTACTGAAGAAAGGTTTACACTTGTTTTGCCGATGTTGGGCTTTCCAACTCCAAAATGGCCTTGATTTGATTGGGGCTAGCCTCAATGCCCCTTCTGGTAACTAAGTAGCCTAAGAACTTACCAGACCCAACTCCAAATGCGCACTTTGATGCATTGAGTCGGAGCCGATATGTTCTAAGGATGTCAAAAACCGCCTTCAAGTCTTCCAGATGATCCCCAGGTTCCTTGGTCTTCACAACCATGTCATCTATGTATACCTCCAATGTTCTGCCTATTAGATGCCTGAACATCTTGGTCACCAATCTTTGGTAAGTTGCTCCTGCATTTTTCAACCCAAACGGCATCACTCTGTAGCAATATAGCCCTTTTGGGGTGATAAATGCAGTCTTCTTCTCATCTAGAGGGTACATAGCTATCTGATGGTATCCCCTGTATGCATCCAGGAAGCTCATCCTTCCATGCCCTAAAGTGGCATCCACCAACTGGTCAATCTTGGGTAGTAGGAAACTATCTTTGGGGAAAGCCTTGTTCAGGCTGGTGAAGTCCACACAGACCCTCCACTTCTCATTCTTCTTCTTCACAACCATCGTGTTTGATAACCATGTGGGGTAATTTACCTCTTGAATGGCCTTGGCCTCCAAAAGTTTATCCACTTCCTCATCTACTGCCTCGACATGCATCAACGTTGGCCTTTTTGCTCGTTGGATGACAGGTTTGGCAGACCTATCCACGTTCAGTCTATGGCAAGTAACCTCAGTGTCAATTCTAGGCATCTCGTACGACGTCCAGGAAAACACCTCAATGTTTGCTTTCAAGAACGCCTCTAGCTCTTTTTCTTCTTCCTCGACCAAGCCCGAGCCGAGAAGGAAGAAACGTTCTTCATCCCCTTGTTGGACAAGGATTTTCTTTAGGGCTTCCTCACTCTTCTCAGCTGGCTCTTTGCCGACGTCTTCCAGGACTTCCATGTCCTCATCCTCGATTTCTGTTGCTTCTGCTTCTTGTATGTTGTAGGTGGATTTTATTACTGCCATGGAGCAATTCTTTGCCTGCACTTGATCCCTTCTGACCTCCTCAATTCGTTGCTTTGTTGGGAATCACAACAGCTGGTGCAATGTTGAGGGAACAACCCCCATTGCATGCAGCCATGGCCTTTCCAAGATAGCATTATAAGGGGAGAGAGTGTCAATTACTGTGAACTCAATTTTTATCTTCTTGGTGCCAACCTGCACCTCCAAACTAATTGCTCCCAGGGGCCATGTCGGCGTTCCATTGAACCCGATCATAGGACCGTTGGATTGTTCCAAATCGTCTTGGTGATGCCCGAGCTCCTTGTAACACCTGACATACATGATGTCACAAGAGCTGCCTTGGTCAATTAAGATGCGCATCACTTGGCATTCTCCAATCTGGAGGGATATTACCACGGCATCGTTGTGTGGATGCTGCACCGTCTCTAGGTCGTCTTCAATAAAAGACACCACTGGTCCCTGGCACTCGTCTGCCCTAGGTCTTTTCTGCCTGACCTGGTACACATGTTGCAAGTGTTTTACTTTCTGAGTCTCCCCACGTATTTCGTTCTCATTGACCTTCGAGTGAATCATATTGATCACTCGAGGTCCACCTGCCTGCGGTTGTGGTGCTGGGGAAGGCGATGCTGCCGGTGCCTGAGGCAGTCTTGCTTGCTCTTTCCTTGTTCTGGCCTCATCTACAAGGTCCCTTAAATGACCTTGTCTTACCAAGTCTTCCAAATATGCCTTCAGGGCTCTGCACCTCTGAGTCAGATGCCCATCTTCATTATGGTAAACACAGTGTTTGCCAAGGCTTCTTCCCATAAATTCACCAGAAAACCTTACTGGTGCTCTATAACAGGGTTGATTTCAGATTTTCTCCAAGACTTTGTAAATTGGGATTCGGAATATGGTTGTGACTACCTGTGCAACCCTTAATCCTGTCTCTTGCTTGTTGTACCCAGTGTTACCTGGGCCTCGCTTCGGTGAGCCGTTTGTTTTCTCTTGTTTTGACGCCTTTGTCCTCGGTGTGTCTTCATCGGTCCTCGCATATTTCTCGATTCTGACCATCAGTTCCTCCATACTCTTTGGCAGTGTCTTTGCCAATGATTTGCGAAGTAGACAATCATCTTTCAGGCCGTTCTTAAAAGACACGACTGCCACCTCTTGGTTGCATCTTGGTATCCGATTGAATACCTCATAGTACCTCTTGGCATAGGCCTTAAGGCTTTCATCCTCACTGATTCTCAGCGCCATCAGGGAGTCCACCCTTAATGGTTGTAGCTTGTTTGTCACAAACCTAGCCATGAACATCTCAGCTAGGCCTTCCCAGGTTTTCACAGTTCCTTTCGGCAACTTATGAAACCAGTCCGATACTATTTCCCCAAAGAATGAGGGGAACACCTTGCAAAGCAATGGGTCGTTCCCGGTGTATAGTGCCATTGAGTTTAGGTACAAGCCGACGTGAAAGTTGAGGTCTGACGTACCGTTGTATATCTGGAACCCTGGCATACTGAACCTTTTCGGGGCCTCAAATTTGTCCAACTCTACCGAGAACGGTGTTCTCGGCTTAACCGGGGAGATTACCTCGGCGTTTTGTTACTTCCTCTGGAGGTAATCCCTCAAATCCTCCTTGGTCCGTCCTGGAGCTCAGCTATCTCTGGATTTCAGCCTTTTCGGCGCGCTGCTTCCGGTGTCATTGTGAGTCCTCTTGGACCTCTATCCGTTAGTTGCGTCAAAACAGAGTTCCTTCCCTTGAACATGCCGATGTTCTTTGGTACGATGCGTCTTTCGTGAATCTCCCTTCATTGACTCTCCTCACCCGACCTCCCTTGAAGGCTGGTCAGAGTGTTCCTTGGTCCTGGTGTGCTGGGGGGCTACTGGTACTTTTTTCTGCCATCTCTTCTGGGTATTGTTCTTGACCGCTAGAATCGGCGTGTCTTGTAATGGGAATGGTGGCTGCATGACATTGTTTTGCATCATGAAATTGACGACCGTTTGCAGGTCTGCCAATTTGTTTGATTTCGTTCATCTCTTTATCCCTCCATAGGCATCTATCTTTCCATACCTGCAGGTCGTCCCCGTTATAGTACCCGCTTCGTTCTGATTTCTTTGGTACATCGCCTTCCTTGCCGACGTCTTTCTCTCTGGGATTCGGATCCCGAGTTTCTTCGTTGCAATTATCTTCCTCGACATCAAGGTCAATATGTTTACCACTCCCAGTAGGGATATCGTCCCCAACCTTTTCTTTTCGTCCGTCGTTAGCCATCTATTCTTCTTTCTTTCCCACAGATGGTGTCAAATTGTGTGTGTCAATTTCCGACCACACTGCCAAACAGGTACTCAGCTGGAGAACACTAGCAGAATAGATTAAGCCCGAACAACCTGTCAACAAAAAGAAAAGATTCCGGCGGTGGTTTGTCCACCCAGGGGCACTCCGACGATCAAGTCAGTTATCTCTCAAAGATAGCAAAAGTGCTTAACTCACTATTCAGAATACAAAAAGCGTACCTTAGACCCACGAGGGTGCCTTTCATTTATAGCCAACACTGACCTAATCCCAATAGAAGCCTAGCTCCAATGGATTATGTCTCAAGGCTAATCCTGGACTCCCAGCCAGATTGGGATAAACTCTCTAAGAGTCTTATCTTTATCCAAACTGAAGTCCTCTCCAATTTTAGGACTCTTGTCCCCTATCCGCTTATCCCGGATTCCGGTATTTTCGCAGATAACCTCGGCCTAGCCGAAATTACCTCGGCATCACGACTAGAACACGTGGCACCTCGGTTGACACTTCAGTGCTACCTCGACCACGTGTTGTTACTCAAAAATTATGTCCCCACATGCACAAATATAAATACATGGCCCAGTGTCATTCTAAGTCTAGTACGAATTATACTCAAAATAAATTTGAGTTATACATTATTTTATGTGTACAGTATTTATAATTTTCTTTCTATAAAAAAATTATTGATAAAAAATATCCAATAATCTTTTGATTAAGAGATTGTTTTGATGATGATGACGAGAAGCCAAGGGTTGAAACTTGAACAGATAAAGCAAAGTATAGACCTATGCATTGCACATATTATAAAATAAAAGTTTTATTAAACATTAAAAACATCCATCAAGGCTTCCAAACATTTTGCAAGGAATGATGTTAGAGATCGTGAATAATTTATTTTTACCAAACCTTTTATATAGGTGTAGGAGCCACACACATGTGGGTTTGTGTGAGTCTTACTCAATGTGAGAGATTTAGTAGAAAATTAAGTAAATTATTTGGAATCCATAATATTTTCCTTTTGCATTGGCATACAACAACGTTTATACAACATCGTTTCAAAAAAAACGTCAGTTTTTACTGTTTTTCGTATTTTACATTTAAAAAAAAAAAAAAGTCAACAGATCTCACTCTCTCACACTCGCATCTCCGTCATGGTCCGTCTCTCTCATTCTTAGACTCATATCTCACTCTCATAGACATCACTCCCTCTTACTCTCTCACACACCGCTCCTCTCTATTGTAATCGAACATCGATCTACATTCCTTTTATATAGATGTAGGAGCCACACACATGTGAGTTTGTATGAGTCTTACTCAATGTGAGAGATTTAATAAAAAATTTAATAAATTATTTGAAACCCATAACATTTTCCTTTTGTATTGGCATACAACAACGGTTATACAACATAGTTTCAAAAAAAATGCCAGTTTTTAGTGTTTTTCGTATTTTACATTAAAAAAAAAAAAAAGTCAACAGATCTCACTCTCTCACACTCGCATCTCCGTCATGGTCCGTCTCTCTCATTCTTAGACTCATATCTCACTCTCATAGACATCACTCCCTCTTACTCTCTCACACACCGCTCCTCTCTATTGTAATCGAACATCGATCTACATTCCTCGGTCAAACATCGATCTCTGTCGCTCTAGGGCATTGCTCTAGCTGCTCGTCATCGAACTCGAACTTGATCTTGATCTCGATCTCGATCTGTTCTTCATCTCAAATCAAATCATTATCATTCTTCGATTCTCTTCTTCTCTCTTCGATCTCTCTGCAAATCTCTCTCTCTCTCTCTAAACTCTGTTTGGATCTATCTGTGTACGATCATGGAGATGGAACGTGTGATCGAGTTTCCACACGCGGACATGGATCGTCGTCTCAGAAAAAGACCACGTTTGGGTTGGGATGTTGCTCCTCAGGCCCTTAAGGTATCAAATCTGTTCTCTAGATCTCTAATTTCATAATTTTTTTTCTTTCTCTTTTTTGGTTCTATTTTTTGCTAGGTCTGGTTGAAATTAGATATGTGGTAGATCAGGCATGAGAAAAGGTTTATGCTTTTATAAATCTGTAAATTTCATGGTAGATTGGGTTGGGAAAAAGGTTTATTATTATTATTTTTTTTTCTTATGTATAATCGATTTTTATGTATGATCTGTAAATTTTTGTTTTCCTTGGTGATGCGAAGTTGCTTGAGCTAGAAAAGCTTGATCTCCGTCTTTACTTGAGCGTACATCTTCGAGATTGTTCGAATCCCTCTGATCTAAATCGATCTAGGGCTCAAGGTAAGGGTTTTCTGACTTGGATTCGCTAAGTTCACTCAAGATCTGTAAAATCTCATGGTTAAAACAACGACTTGGAGTATATTTATGTTGATGTTTGTAAATTCACTTGCATTTTCCCCCCAATCTAGCTTTTCTGGCATTTTTCAAATCTTTTTTTTGCTTATGTTTTTGCTGATTCCACTTGTACACTTTTTTTTTTTTTTTTTGGTTCTTATGTTTGAATTCTGAATTTTTTAAAGTTCTATAGGGAATTGAATATTTGAGAGAGGGCTTACATCTCTTTTCTTTTGTTCTAAACTTGGTGGGTTGGTAAATATGTAATTTTTAACTTCTAATTTCAATTTGATACTTGTCAATATGATATGCTGAAATGAATGACATGTAAATTTCAGTCATTTGATTCTATAAACATTCATTGTTATTTTGCCAGCAAATTTTAAGGCTGAGCAAGTAGGTAACTTTGATTCACAATTGACTTTAAATTTTTAATTTTTCCTCAATTTCTTCTTAGGATATGAAATTTGTATGAACAAAGGCAGATACCAAAAATTTCAACTCTTTAGTTTTTATGTAATTGATTGATTGGTTGATGATGTGGGTTTTGTGTTTCTTCCTTTGTTTGTTTGGTTCTTGATTGATCAAATATGTGTCAATAGTCTTGAGAAATTTGGGATTAAAAGTCAGCTTAATGTGTGCAGAAAGTAAATGAGATGTGGGCAGGCTTAGGCTATTATAGGTTTGGGCGGTTTCTTGTTGGAGAATCTACAATTCCTTTACCCAAATCTGCCAATAAATAATCATATATCATTGTTTGGTTGTTTGTTTGTTTAACTATGGCTCTTGTGGCCTAGGATTATAATTGCTCTTGGTTGGATTGTTGGAGTATGAATAATAGAAAAATGGTAGGAATGAATAGTAAAAGAGTAACAATGAGTCATAGAATTCGACTATAGAATTAATAATTGTTAATGAATAATGCGATTTTTCCTTTAAAATTTTGATGGCTAATTATATTATTGCATTTCAAAGTGTTAACTGCTATTTCTCCACAGGCAGATAATGCTATTGTCTCACAGGAGTAGGTAATTTTTTCATTGCCTATACATTCGGTATCTAACGTAGTTGAAGTTGGAAAGCATAGAAACTGATGTGGCATTCTCTTATTTATGTTTTTGTCAGAAACTGATGTTGCAAACCACTTTATTTCACAAGGTTTGTTTTGGAGAGTTGTGTTTCATGGTTCGGGTCCTTTGCTGATAATTATACATTTATATTTATAAAGTCAACTTTATTGGTTCTTCCGTAGGCCCTGAAAGAGGCTTTTGAGGTTTTCTGCAACAAACAAGTTTTTGGCTGCTCTAGTGCAGAGCTGCTGGCTTCATTCTGTGATAATATTCTCAAGAAAGGTGGGAATGAAAAATTGAATGATGAAGCCATTGAGGACACATTAGATAAGGTGGCCTTCCTGTTTCTTTAATATCTGTTTCTATTGCGCCTATTGACTTGTCATGGTAATTTCTAACGTGTTCATTTTATTCCTGCAGGTGGTAAAGTTGCTTGCTTATGTTAGTGATAAAGACCTTTATGCCGAATTCTACAGGTAAGCTGTTTGCTTCCTTCATATGTTTCAATTCTTTCTTGTAAAGGGATTTTTTAGGTCCCTACTACTACTACTACTACTACTACTACTACTACTTTCAGGGATTTTTTAGATCCCTACTACCACCACCACTACTTGAAAAGAAATAAGATTTTTTCCCCTATTTTGACTTAAGGTTGCTTCAATCCCTTTCATGATGTTAATGTCATTGGTTCAATGGAAAGGAAAGTGGTCTTTCTCACTTCCTTTTCCCCCACAGTTCTTCTAGTGCTTTCTCGTCTAAGGGTGATATTTCTAAGCATCTCTTTATTGCTTCGACTACTTGGTTAAAAATTGATACACAAGGTTGTTACCAATGATATGATTTATTGATGGGTGTGTATATATATAATTATTTGACTTTAGATTTTGAATGTTTCATATGTTGATAATGAATGTCTAGTTGTTTAGTTTCTCTTACACGAGTTTGCTTTGTTACTAGTTTGAGGTATTGTCTTCCCTTCATCCAACTCCAGCAGTTTGTGGGTTTCCTACAGAAGAGGCATGCATTCTAATTGCAAAAACTGGTACATGTATATTGCTATATCATTTCTGTTTTGCAATCTGTGTTTTATGGCTTGTTTACATCTACGTGAAATTTTTAAGATGAGACATAATTCAATTCTTGACTAAAGTTGAACAAGAAAGGACTCAATGATCTAAAGAAAGTATACATGCTTGCCAAGACGGAATCATATATCATGATTTACACTTACCTGTAAAGCTTATGTGTTTACTGTCCATTTAGTGTGTCTCGTCTAATTTGAAGTGCATATAACAGTGATAAAAATTGCACTATTAATGAATTCAATCTTTACTCTAGAACACTAGATTTAGCCTGACTAACATTGGTCATATGATTTTTTTTTTGGGGTTAAACTATTGAACTATTTGTTTCAGTTGGGAAAGGGGGTGTTTTCTTTTCTGTTATCAAATCGCCATGATTTTTAACTTTATTTCCATGTTTGATGATTATTTATAGATCATCTAATTGTGATTATACTTTTGCTGCTTGTTATGGGACAGAATATTACCTCTGCCGTTTGTTTTTTTTTTTTGGATTCTCAAGGAATCTAAATAGAGATATTCTTTTAATGCTATCCTATGTAAGTGAAGTATATATCAATTATGTTGTACAGAAATGTTTGACCGAGGAATGTATGCTGGCCTGGTTGGTTGGTTGGTTTGGAGGAGGAGAAAAGTGAGTTTGCTGTTGGAATAAGGAAAGCCTTGGTGGGAAGGGTGAGCCATTTACTAGTACATCTTTCACTGAAATCTATATTATTTGTCATCAAAAGTTCAACTTTTGACAGTACACTAAAAATGTAGTTTCTGTCTTTCTTTTCCTTTTTTCTCCGTCAAGCTATATACCAAAAGAACTATTGAAATGGTTTTCACTGACAGTAACAACAATGGGGTTATTTTTGTATATGGATGTACTTTCATTTCAAAAATCTCTATAACTGTCCATGATTTCGTAGTGATGTCATTCCCAAAGTAATGTGTGCTGACCAATTTGGATAGGGACTTGTTGCATTAATTTATGCTGGTACTGGTGTAGTTGAAGGAAGTAATTCATCTTTAGAATGGGAGGAATTGGAGCTGAAGACATCTCAGGTTTGTGAATGTCTTTGTTTGGATGCATATATGTGGATGTGTGGGTACCCATTTGTGTCAAAATGCACTTGTCTTCATGCTTCCAAACATGCTTGTAGAATTGCCATTTTATTTATCTGTTTTCTATGTTTGTTTAAATATGGATTGTATAGTACTATATTAAGGGCATATCACTTTGCATCATAAAAAATGCTTTTAGGAAATACCAAGTGATGCTAAAGGCCTTTTTCCATGTTTTTTTGGGTGCAGTTTACCAAGTTGATGAAACTTGAGGTGACTTTTTTGATACCAAGAAAGGGTGATGTCACAATTATTATTATTATTATTATTATTATTATTATCAAGAGAGGGATTATCATATCTAACTTCCTTCCTTCCTCTCTCTCTTGGTGAAATGTGTTGAGGTTTTTAAGGAATTTTATCGAACAAAAACAAAACATAGAAAGCTTTCTTGGATTTACTCATTGGGTACTTGCAACATAATTGGCAAGTTTGTGCCAAAAACTATAGAGTTGATTGTGGGAACTTGTCAGGTAAATTCCTATTTATATTGTACTTTGATTTGTACAAATCAGGGATTTGAACTTGCTCATAATGTATGAAAGGTTGTTTGTTTGATGAATGAAATTGATAGGTTCTGTTGTGTTTTACATGTATAGTTGGGCAATCATTGCATCAAAATTCAAGGATAAATCAACCAGGCAATGTAGAAGAAGGTTAATTATTTTATAAAAACACGATTTTCTTTTTTTAAATTTATGATCTCCTTTGTCTTCCAATAATTCTTTAATTTTCTGTTTTTTAGTCTAACTCCAATGTTGATGTGACATACCATTGCAGATGGTACACTTGAATTCTGATTTCAAGAAAGGGGGTGGTCTCCAGAGGAAGACTTGCTCTTATGCGAGGTAAAATTGATGCTTTCTGAACTCAAAAGTTGCGATATATCAATACTGACAAGCTGGTTTTTCCTTTCTACTACTATTATTGATATATTTTCTTTTGAACTATATATGTAACACTATCTTTGTTCAATCATTAATTTCCTTAAATTTTCTTTGAGTTAATTTGTTTTGTTGTCGCCAATGGTCCAACAGATAATACCAAGTGTATTTCAAAATTAGATAATTATTTCTCCATTATTGTCTGTGGGAATTTGATATCTTAAGATCCACTGCAGGCTCGAAAAGTATTTGGTAACAGATGGACTGAAATAGCCAAAGTGGTCTCAGGGAGGTATATAAAGTTGTAATGTTTTATTTCTTGCTTGGTATTGGAAAAGTTTGTGGTAATTACAAATTAATTTCTTCATCTATGCATACAGAATTGATAATGCTGTGAAGAATTGATTTTCCAGTGTGTAAGAAGAGGGCAAAATATGAAGCCTTAGTGAAAGAGAATAATAACACTTCATACATCAATCCAAACAACAAAAGGGTTATCTTTCGAAAAGTTGTAGCATTAAATTTCCAAGGATATAAATTAGAATTTTTATGGTCTTCAATTTGGCATTGTAATTCAACTTTGAGTCAATCTGTGTTCTTTTATATTAATTATTAGTCAATTCTTAATCTCTGTTCCTAGTTAAATTTACATAAATTCTTAGTTAATTTTCATTCTCTATTCTTAGTTAAATTCTCAATTAATTGGGTTGTGTTCTTAAAAAAGGGGGGGCTCTTTTTGGGAAAAAAATGTCACTAAATGATGTCATCATGACATCACATCTGAGGCAATTATTAAAAATGAAGAAAGGTGGCGTTTTTTAAAAACGCCACTAAATGATGTCATCATTACGTCATACGTTAATTGTGACGAAAGTGGAAGCGGCTGTTAAAGATTTTGCAACGTTTTAAAAATGCCATCTAATGTTTTTAGAGACGCTTTTAAAACGCTGTTAAGCTATTGCGGCGAGCGTATCTACGACGAAAATGTTAAACGTCGCAAAAATCTATTGTGTCGATTTTCTTGTAGTGGCAAGACTTGAAGTCAATAATAAATGAAGTATATTATAATATTCAACTTTAAAAAAGATACAAATGCAAAAGAATTAGTATTTTCATTTGGCAATTTAATATTTTAATTTAAAAGTAAAAAATTACTAAAAAATTAAAAAAGCCAATAAATTAAACAAAAAATTAAAACATTCATTTTTCTATCTACTTTTTGTATGTTTAAAAAGCTCAAAAATCATTACAAATATATATATATATATATATATATATATATTTGTAATGATTTTTGAGCTTTTTAAACATACAAAAAGTAGATAGAAAAATGAATGTTTTTTGCAACGTTTTAAAAAACGCCATCTAATGTTTTTAGAGACGCTTTTAAAACGCTGTTCAGCTATTGCGGCGACCGTATCTACGACGAAAATGTTAAACGTCGCAAAAATCTATTGTGTCGATTTTCTTGTAGTGGCAAGACTTGAAGTCAATAATAAATGAAGTATATTATAATATTCAACTTTAAAAAAGATACAAATGCAAAAGAATTAGTATTTTCATTTGGCAATTTAATATTTTAATTTAAAAGTAAAAAATTACTAAAAAATTAAAAAAGCCAATAAATTAAACAAAAAATTAAAACATTCATTTTTCTATCTACTTTTTGTATGTTTAAAAAGCTCAAAAATCATTACAAATATATATATATATATATATATATA